TCTAGAATTTTCTACAAACAAAATATGAAATAAATTTAACTTTTTTGAACTAAAAGAAATAGTAAAATAGGGGAAAATAGAAGTGGACTTCAAGGTTTGTGAATGCCAACAGATCTACCTCGAGTCTCCAATGAGCAAATCCAAGCTGTTACGCCACACGAACAGCTAGGTTTGGTACCAAAGTCTGCACAAGAAGTGCAGAGTGTAGTATGAGTACAACCGACTCCATGTACTCGTAAGTGTCGAGCCTAACCTCAATAAAGTAGTGACGAGGCTATGGAAAGACACCCACGTAATAAACCTGCAAATAATACTATATGTACAAGATAACAACAATAAAAGCTTAACATGTAATATTGGGAGGGGGACATGCTAAAGGGGCTCAAGATACGAGAGATACAACGGAAATGATAACCAGAATAGTCAATAGGCCTTTAACCGGTAAAAAAATAATTAAGCACAATGAAGAAAATTACACGGCATCACCCTTCGTGTTTTTACTCTCACTCTCAGTATAAATCAATAGATACATCACGACATCACTCTTCGTGCATTAACTCTCATAACATGGCATGACATCATCATTCGTGAATTAACACTCACAATATGGCACGACATCACCCTTCGTGCATTAACACTCATATACGGCACGACATCACCCTTCGTGCATTAACACTCCCTCACCACATAACAATGAACAAGTAATAACAGGGAGATAGGATCAACAAGAACAAGCCTTACTTCAACAATGGTTCCACAATACCAATATCAACTTTGGAATCAATACTCAATTACCAAAAAGCCCATTAACACGGTAAGAACGATCAAGTTAATAGATAACTTGTCTAAGCATGGAAAACATGATCAAGATAAGCAATAATTGCAAGGAACAAGCCTCACCCATATGCTTTAACCCTACAATAATGCATAAGTACTCGTCATCTCACATATACATTGTACCCAACATCTAAACATGTAGAAAATAGACAAACAAGTCCTAATCCCTCAAGTCAAGATTAACCATGACACTTACCTCGCTCCAAAGTCAAAGCTCAATCACAACTTTGCCTTTCAAACAAGCCTCTGAACCGATATAATCTAGCAAATTACCAACCAAATGATTCAAATTAAGCCTTAGGAACTACCCACGATTGCAAAGGATTCAATTTAGGTCATTATTGAAAAACAAAAGTCAACTCCCAGGCCCTTTTGGTCCAAACCCAAAATTCAGACCAAAACCCAATTTCTCATTCACCCCCGAGTCTGATTATGTAATTTGTTTTTGAATTCAACCACAATTTGAGGTCTAAATCTCCATTTTACAAAAATACCTAATTCTACCCAAACCCCAAATTTTCACCATTAAAACACAAGATTTTAGGTTGAAATCTTAGAAAATGTAGTGAAAGATTGAAAGAAAATAGATTAGAATCACATACCAATGATTTTGGGAAGAAGGGTGCTTGGGAAAATCACCTCTAGGGTTTTCTTGTTTTGAAGATTTGAAGAATGAACAAAAATCCCGTCTAACTCCTATTTGATCAGTTGCAGATGTCGCATTTGCGATTTGCGAACACCGCAAATGCGAAGAAACAATCGCAAATGCGAAGTCCTTTCATTTATGTTGTCATCGCATTTGCGATGAATTGTTCGCAAATGCAAACATTGATCATCCGCAAATGCGACCATTTGATCGCAATTGCGATCATTGAACCCTCTGTCCCACTTCCCAAATGAGAAGTCTTATTCGTAAATGCGAACTTTTTCGCAAATGCGATTAGTTGCTCGCAAATGCGAACCTATCAGAGGTCACAAATGCGAAGCCTGACCTCGCAATTGCAAGGTCTGAGGCCTGCACCAGATCTGGAATACACCAGCATATTCCTAAGTCTAAATTTCACTCTGTAGCCTATCCAAAACTCACTCGAGCCCTCGGGGATCTAAACCAAATATGTACTCAAGTCTAAAAATATCATACGAACTTGCTTGTGTGATCAAATCGCCAAAATAACACCTAGAACTATGAATCGGATGCCAAAATCAAATGAAAATTTCAAGAAACTTTAGAATTTTTATGTTAACAACCGGATGTACGAATCTCGTCAAACCAACTCCGTTTCTCACCAAATTTGATAGACAAGTCATAAATATTGTATTGGACCTATAGCGAGTTCCGAAACTAAAATACGGACCCGATATCCAAAAAGTCAAACATTTCAAAATCATTAAGCTTTTAACTTTCAAATTTCAACAAAGCGTGATAACTCGAGCTAGGTAGTTTCGAATTCGATTCTGGGCATACGCCGAAATCCCAAATCACGGTACGGACCCACTGGGACCGTCAAAATACTAATTCGGGTCTGTTTGCTCAAAACATTAACCGAAGTCAATTCAAATTGATTTTAAGGCAAAAAATTTATATTTCTCAGTTTTAAGATAAAAGCATTCCGGAAAAAGACCCGGACTACACACGCAAATCGAGGAGGTCTAAGATGAGGTATTTAAGGCTTCAAAACGTAGAGTTAGGTTTTAAAACATAAGTTGATCTATCGAGTCATCACAGGCCCGAGGGGCTCTGGTGAGTTTCAGAATGATTTCAGAGTGTTTTGTTCTTTGCTTCAGGTTTGGGACTTAGTGTTATTTTCTCACATTTTGAGCCTTACACGTGGTACACGCGAGAGGCAATTTTTGAAGGATGATTTCACACATAGCTATTGGGTAAGTAATTTTAATTTAATTTTGATAATATAAATTCTCTAATTCTTCTTTCGAGCAAGAAATAAATTCAAGGCCTTTGAACTTGAACTTGAATTTAAATTTGACTTGATTTATCCGTCACGAATGTCTTGATAGTCGCCACCAACAGTGATTTTGTCATGAACAAGTAGCCTTGATCTTGAACGCCTTGTATTTGATTTTGTTCTCGATCTTGAACTTGACTTCTTGAACTTGAACTTGAACTTGATTGCTTGAAACTCTAAGCTTGTGGAGAAATTTACGACATTTGATGCACGAGCTCTCTCTTGCTTCTTGTTATAACTTCCGGTGTCTTTTCTGAGTTATGAAAACTCATATTTATAGTAGTGGAACAGAAGAGTTGTGATGAGAACACACTCTTTTTAACCAATCAGATTGAGGTGTGATACATCCGCATTTGATTGGCCAGAGCATGTCATTTGCACATGTGACGCAGTTTTATTGGCCTTCTAATTTAATTTGGCATGCCTTGTCATTACGTGGCATGACCGTAATGTCTCTTCCATTTGACTTGGTGTGCCATATCGTTTGACACGTAGCACAAAACTGGACCTCTAGGAAGAAAATATCTTGGGCTTAATGAAATGGGCTCATTATTTGTAGTCCGAGTAAATAGACTAGCCCAATAAATTTGGACTTATTTATTTAACTCTTGTATGTTGAACTAATATAATTAATCTTATTTGGCTCATATATTTATTTGGGCTATTATATATATTTAAGATATAGTCTAAAATATTTGTTAAATTTAAAACCAATAAATGTTAAATGCCTACAATCACACCATGTTAAGAGTATCTTTTGATCGTTTTAACCCAACAAAAACAAATTGAAACTGAGGGAGTATTATTACACGAGGTTTGAGTTTTGTAAAGGCTGACATAGCTTTAGCATTTGATATAAACTTTTGGAGCTCGTAGTGTTAAACGTGAAATAATATTTATGTGGTTATAAAATTATATTATTAGAGATATATTGGAAAGTTTAAAATTAAATTATTTTCAATTATAGAAAGAAATTATTTTTTTAGCAGACCAAAAAAGCAATTAATTAATTTAATATAAAATGGAATAGAGAGAATAAAAATCTTTCGTGTTTCATATAATCATATTGTGATCGATTCTTTGCAAATCATTATTTTCTTGCAGGTTGAAGTTTGAAACTCTTCTTTTGATAGGAAAAGAAAATAATATTTATGTAGCATATGAAGCAGTAGCTATCCATACTAATAATATTAGTATTAGTCTTATACTTTATCATTTTAAGATTTTTATTACTACTTGCTATTTCTTTCGTTTCAATTTTCTTGCTATATTGTTGTTATATTACTATCTATTGCTACTGCTTCTTTTATTTTCCATCTTTCCTTGAGTCGAGAGTCTATCAGAAATAACTTCTCTACTTTCTCAAAGTAAGAGTAAAGTTTACGTACACTATCTTCCCCAAACTCTATTTGTAGGATTACATTGAGTTTATTGTTGTTGTATATGTAGCAGTAGCTAAAATTAACGTATACATAAGCATCCTTCTTTTTTGGGACTTCATCTTTCTAAGGGTGTGTTTGGTATGAAGGAAAACATTTTCCGGAAAATATTTTTCAATTTTCCATGTTTACGGGTTTAGCAATTATAAAGTATACGGGTTCGAAATTTCGCGGTTTCGAAAGTTTAGCGGTTCGAAAGTTTATGAAATTTTTGGGTTCGGAAGGTTGTTGATTTGAAAGTTTATGGCTTCATATTTATTATATCTAAAGTTTTTATGAACACTCTTGAAAAATTATTTTCCTTAATTTGCGTACCAAATATCGAAAAAATTTACGTACCAAATATCGAAAAATGAATAAGACTACTACTTATTTTCCAAGAAACTATTTTCTTGGAAAACATTTTCCGTTATACTAAACACACCCTAAGTTTCTTTTCATTTTTTCTTAAGGTATGAGTTTCCTTTCCTCATTAATGAATCGCCTTCTCTATAAGGAACAAATTAAAGCCTTTGTAAGAAGTGATCACGAGATGCACTCAATGTCACCGCTATATAACTAATACTCACACATTCACACTAGCTACATACAACACCTAAAAAAAGCTATCCACTAGCATCACTTTCACGGGTTGTAACTCTTTGCCTTATCAAGTTTGGCACATGAATCCCATAAAATATGTAACAGAAAACAATCACTACCTTACACTATAAATACAAAGACCAATAACAAACAACAAACACTACCTTGCTACAAATAATTTATTTTGAAAGTAATGGGGAAATTCTTTGAATTCGTTATATTGGCATTTTTATCTTTTTTCTTGTTGACAACTAAGGCTTGGTCACAAGAACAAGAGCCCCAAGTTCCTTGTTTTTTCATATTTGGGGATTCACTTGTTGACAATGGCAACAACAATGGGATACTTACTCTTGCTAGGGCCAATTACATGCCTTATGGCATAGATTTCCCACAAGGCGCCACTGGTCGTTTTACTAATGGTCGTACTTATGTCGATATTTTAGGTATATATTTCTTAAGACTTTAAGATATGCTGACGTTGTATATAACTTTAACTCTTTCTTTAGTCAGCTTGTTATGCTAAAAGCTTATAGTACCAACATTAGTTCTTTTTTTTTTTTTTTTTTTTTTTTTTTTTTTTTTTTTTTTTTTTTTGCATTACTCTAATGTCTTTTGGAACATTGTGCATTTGGGCATTGGGATAAAATAATGCAGCTCAACTTCTTGGCTTTTCCAACTATATCCCTCCCTATTCAAGAGTTCGTGGTCGAGCACTATTAAGAGGAGCAAATTATGCATCAGGAGCTGCAGGAATTCGAGATGAAACGGGAAATAACTTGGTATACATAAACAAAAAAACTTAATTTTTTCTTGTGTTCATATTGTTCCTAATATGTTTTAAGTTGCAGTTTAACTTGTATAATTGACAGTGTAAAAGAATTTTGTGCAATTAGGTCACCAAAAAGATAACTATACAAGTAACTTTTGTAACAAGTAGTTACTCCGAAAGTAAGACGTGTAACCTGCTTCAATATGTTAAATTACAGTGTAAAAATTTCCTGTACTATCAAAATGCAAATAGAAAAAGGGGTCGGCCGGTGCACGAAGTATTCCGCGTTCACGCAGGGTCCAGAGAAAGGTCGTATTCCAAGGGTGTGATGTGGGCAGTCTGCTCTGATGATACAAACATATATAAGTTAAATTCTTTAAAATTGTCTCTAACAATAATTGTTCGTCTGAATGTAGGGAGATCATATGTCAATGAACCAACAGGTAGAAAACTTTGCAAGAACTGTTGAGGAGCTGAGGAGATTATTCAGAGGAAATAACAACGCATTAAATGGCTATTTGAGCAAATGTATTTTCTACTCAGGATTGGGAAGCAATGACTATCTCAATAATTACTTCATGACTGATTATTACTCAACTCATTCACAGTACACACCACAAGCCTATGCTACTGCACTTCTTCAAGATTATTGCAAACAACTATCGGTTAGTGGATTCAAACTTATACCAACTAAATGGTCACATTTTCTTATAATGAACAAGCAATTGATGACTTTTTTAAATTAGGGCTCTTTACACAAGTAGTCAGTCAGATTTACTGTTTAATTTTTCTACCTGATATACATAGCTTATACATTGATTATAAATGATCATACACATATTATACATGAATTGTACGAATATTATTTACTGGGCGATCATTTATAGTTTAAGCGGTTGGATGGACAGTTATTTAGGTTAATTTCGAGATCTGTACACAAATAGCCGAACGAATTTACGTACTGTTTACTTTTTCTAGCAAGTACTATCACTTTTCCATTTTATTTTACGTGGCAGTGTTTCACTAGGCATGAATTTCAAGGGAAAAAAAATTGAAATTTGTAGTTTTAAACATATACCATATTATAATCATACCTATAAAAGCAAGTCATTAAAGTTAAATGAGAAATTTAAAGTTAAACTTTTCTAAATATAAAAAAGGTGCATTTCCTTTCGAAAACGGACTTCAAGAAAAACCATGTATAATATATATAGAATAGAGAGAATAATAGAATGGATTAACCTATATATACGAACATCGTAAATTATACTATCAATATACTTTTACCTGTTGTACGTAGCAGGTAACCTGTCTTAATTTTCAGGTTAATTAATAATCTCTTCATGTTATTCAGGAATTATATAACTTAGGAGCTCGGAAAGTTGTGGTAACAGGAGTAGGACAAATAGGATGCATACCCTATGAGCTAGCAAGGTATGATGGAAATGACAGCAGATGTAATGAAGAGATCAACAATGCTATTCTCCTCTTTAACTCTGGACTCAAAAAGCTGGTTGTTCGTTTCAATAAGGTTTTGCCTGGAGCAAAGTTTGTCTTCTTGGATTCCTTTGAAAGCACCAAAGATCTTGTAGTCAATGCAAAAACTTATGGTAACTATTCAAATACTATTTGTTATTCAAAATATCAACAAATTCATGTCCAAACGCCTACTACTATAGTACTATTAACAAGTTATATGCAACTAGATGTGGCAATTTAAGCACAAACATGTTCAACCCGCCTAATCCGTCCAAGGTTGGGCTCTCATTGACCCGTCAATTGTTGAACTTGACTCATTGTGATCCAACTCATCTAAAGTTTGGCTGATTTTTGGTCCAAATTGATCCATGAGTAACTTTGCTAAAATATTTTTAATTTTTTTTTGTTTGATATGTTATATATGACCCACCCATTATTGAACTCAGCCATCTTTACCCATCCCATTTAAAGTTGGGCTGATTTTTAGCCCAAATTGATCAATGAACAACTTTGTTAAAATATCTTTAAAATGATATTTTTATTTGATATGTTATATATGACCATAACAAAAGGAAAAAAAATCTTATTTGGTAATTAAATAATCTATATAAAAAGTAACACACGTTATTAAAGTTTAGCAAGAGTTGGACGGGTTGGGTTTTGACCCAAAATTCTAGCCCATCTTAACCCAAGTAACTTTTGGGCGGGTTATATTGACCCGTTTATTTATTGACTCAGCCCATTTTAATCCGTTCAAAATCAGCCCAATCCTCCCATTCGACACCCATATATGCAACTATTTCGCTTTTTCAATAATTTCTAATTCTGTCTTCCAATATATATAGGATTTGAAGTGGTGGATAAGGGATGCTGTGGAGTGGGAAGGAACAATGGGCAGATAACATGTCTTCCTCTACAACAGCCATGTGAAGATCGTTCCAAATATATATTTTGGGATGCTTTTCATCCCACTGAAGTTGCAAATATTATCTTGGCCAAGAAATCATTCAGCTCCATCTCAAAGACATTTGCTTATCCTATAAATATACAGCAATTAGCTAGGCTCTAATTTTAATGACTACATGTTTGAATTGTTAGGTCCTTGTCTTTGGAGTGCTTAGCTTCATTTGGTTTTTGTTTTTCTCTCAGAATTGTCTTTTGCTATTGAATTTCAATATATTAAGGTCATGTACTCAATAACATTCAACTCCCTAATGAATTGTGTCTCTTTTGAATGTCTTGTTGGTAAAATGTAATTGTTTGGTATAGGTCGAGTTTTTCTTTCGATGAGAGTATCCATAACTACAACAGCAAAACATAATAACCAGGATTTAGAAAGAAAAGAAAATGAAGAATGTTTACTTCGAAAATACGAGTAACAATTAAATTTGATTAGTGGTTTTAAAGATATGTGATTTAGTTCAATACCAATTAATAATCAAGAAATAAGAAGTAGAAATAAAATATAGAAGTGAATTAAACCAATATTACTTAGCAGCAGTGACCTTGAGCTCAGTGGCCTCAAGGTGGCTTAGGGCAGTAAGAACAATAAAATAGGAAAAACCAAGTAAGAACAATAAAGCTAAAGGACAATTCTGCTGAATAGTAGGCAATAAGTAGAGAGTATATTCTTTGCTCAATGATTAGATGATGTTACAAATGATGGGGTCCCCATTATATAATAGGGGAACCCTAAATAAGGAATATTTCTATTTACAGTAAGGAATATTCTTGGTATAGCTGTCTAACCGCGTAGTACGGAATCGTACAATCATATTTTGGGATTTGCGCCATGACTGGGGACGTGGAAGGAATCTAACTTGTTCTGGTACAAATCCATAACAGTACTATTTCGAAGTCGAGCACACCCGTCCTCGGTATGCATCATGCTTCGCCTTCGAACTTGGGTCTGGACCCTCGAGCTCGAACTTGGTCTTACCCGGACTCGGACTTCGGACGACTTCTCAAGTATCTAGATCGAAGGCATTCGATCTCGACCGTATACAGATAGTCCTTACGTTTTTTAGAGTAAGATGATAAGAAATGATTTGAACCCCGATCTTCTTGAACCTCTTATGATGATGTAATTTACGTGATGCAGGCGTCTGCAGTGACCGAAATGTCCCATCGGTCCATTTTCCCAAAACATTGATGCACGCCAGTATTGGTCGGCCATTAGCGCCGCCGAACCATCATTGCCCATCTATAAATGTGAGGCGATTCCTCTGAGTAAAGAACTTTACTCTTTCTTTACATCTTTCCCATCCTCATCTCTTTCTCTACTTACCATTTCCACCGCCTCTTCAAGCACCGGAAAACACCAAGCTCTTGTAAGAAACACCATATCCTTGTGCAACCCATATTCTTTAGCTTATAATATTGGCTAAAACTTCCAAAATGGTCGCTAAAAAGGATAAAGCATCGTCTTCTTCTACCTCCCGGCCAGCCAAACCAGTGGTGCCGCCAACTCTTGAGGAAATCACCCCCGGTCCTTGCATAATTAAGAAGGACTTTAGTAGTGAGAATCCTCCCGACGTCCCAAGCCTATGCGAGCACGTATCTCGGTATATTAGCTTGATATCGGAAAAGCTAATCAAGGATGTGAAGAAGGACTGTGGCTGTGGAGATGAGGTCGCTGTTCAGATCCAGAGCCCCGAGGAAAGTATTACTACCCACGTGGAGGAGTTTTTAAGTGTTTACACTTACCCCTTCACACTTGGTCCCCTTGATCCAGTGGTGATTGACTTCTGCAAAATGTACGAAGTCACCCTCTGTCAGATTCACCGCTCTTTTTGGCGTATCATGATCATGTTGTAGTATTTTTCTATAAAGGTCGAGGGGTTGGAATTCACCATCAGCCACCTGATTTGATTGTATCAGTCCCTGTTATTTCAAGGGTTTATCAAGTTGCAGCGTCGAACAGCGAAATCCTTCTTTGTAGCACTAATGAAACCAAAGATCGAGGTTGGATGAGCTGGTTTGTTAGAGTAAGAACTTCGAATGTCATCCCGGGGATAAAATGCAGTTCCCAGAGAGGTGGAACTTTAATCGTAAGTGGAGTTTGTTTTCCCAGTACTATTCATATTCTGCTTTTACATTTCATAACCCCTTTATCCTTCATTTGGCAGCCAATGCCTGGATGCCCCAAGCAGTGCCTGACCTCGAGGATTGGGTCCAAAAGTTAGTTGCCACCTCTTCCTATGACGAAAGTAAATGGCGTGAACTATCGAAAGGTCAGTGGGAGGCCAAGAACCATGGTAAGTGTTATTCCCAAGTTTCAATCACTTGTCGTATATTGGTGGCGTCAACTTACTCACGCTCACTTGTGTAGGCCTTGGTGATGCATCTGAGATGAGGCCGGCTCCTCCCGGGGAAAAGACCAAGGCTTCGATTCCGAAATCGGAGAGGGACAAAAAAAGGAAAAGGGTTTCGAAACCTGAAGACCCTCAAGACAAGAAAACCCCTGCTCGAAGGTTGCGGAAAAGGTTTGCTCAAACGGGCGCAGATGCAGCCCATGATTCCCCGGATGATGAAGAGAATGATGATGAAGAGGTGGCTCTGGTGTATCAGACCAGGAAACCAATCGAGGCTGCCAAGCCTTCCGAACTGGAAACCTCATCCCGTGGTAAGGGAACCCCAAAGGAAGGAGCATCCAAGGCGAGGTTGATCAGGTCAAAGCTGATTGCCATCAATGGAAGGAGAGTATGGATCAGCTTGCTGCCGATAAGGAAGCTGTTACAGCCCAACTGGCCTCGGCCGAAACTCAACTCTGGGGCCTTAAAGCGAAAGGTTTGGCCTAGGCCAAGAAGACTGAGGAGCTAGAGGCAGCGCTCGCTAGAGCCCGGGCCGAGGCTGCACAGGCCAAGGCTGAGGCTGTATAGGCCAAGGCTAAAGCTGAGAAGACGAAGGCTGCAGCTGATAAATCCGTCATCATATACTTAAGAGAAGTTATGGTCGTTCAAGCTGAGCTGAGGGAGGCCTCCGACCGAGAAAGACGGAGCAATGATTTGGCCAAGTGTTAGGCCCGGAGGGACACTCTCGAGGAAATCCATGCCCGAGGGTTTAACCTTACTGAACAGATAGCCGACGCAAAGGCGCGAGAAACCAATGCCAGGTTTCTCATCTCTTCTGATGACGAGGACGTTGCGGGTGGCTTCGGTGACGGGGAAGATGAAGGAAATGACACTTATATAGAGGAGGCTCCTGAAGATACAGATGTCGAAGGTGCAGTTTTTGAGGACGTTGCTCCCGGGGATGTGAGCCCGAAAATAGACTATGTTCTCTTTTTCTTTTTTGTGCAAGGGCCCCTCGTGGGCATTGTAAATTTACTTTGTAAATCAACTTTTGTGAATATAAGGGACCCTTTTGCTTTATCTTCAGTTTGTGTTGATTTTCTTTTTGTCTTCATCTGTGAAAATTTTTATTGTATAACTTAAATGATCAATCCGAGTATTGGTTTGAACTCAGAATATAATGGAACCTTAGGCTTTTCACTGATGAACATAATACCCCTTAAGGTTTAGTCATTGCTCGAGCAAAGTTTAAATTGATTTGATAAGATCTCGAGATGTCGGAATTCTCGAGTCCGAGTCGAGTGCGAACAAGGACTCGACCTCTATATGTTTTGACCCTTAAGCCTTTTAAGTTGGCCCTTAAGCTCTTATACATCGGCCCTTAGGCTCTTTAAGTTGGCCCTTAGGCTCTTAGACATCGACCCTTAGGATTTTTAGCTTGGGCCGTTTCGGCCTCTAAAATGGTTACAATTTTTCCCTCTTTTTCGGCTAAAAGACTTAGTAAATATTTTGTATGCCTTAGCATGTGTTTTTTGTACCCGTTGGGTTTTTCAAGGGTTCGACGTATCGGAACCTCATTAGTAATTTCTTTGTGTATTCGTAATAGAATACATCTTGAGGTTTTTCCGAAGGTTGATGTTTATCGAAGCCTTTAAATTATTTGAGGGATGAATTTATCGAAGTCCTTAGGTATTTCGAGGGATGAATTTATCGAAGCCCTTTCTATTTTGCTTTTTCCAAGGGTAGCCTGATTTAACCGGTTTTTCAATATTTGAAGGCCTTAAATTTATCGCGAAAGTTGGACGTCTCTGAGCCGCATTATTTTGGCCGTAGCCTTTATATGACCGTAGTCTTTGATATGGCTGTAGCCTTCAGGTATGTTACTTGGACTTGTTTCCCGATAAATTTTCGAACTTGTATGAAAAGTTAGTCCCCGAGTATATTGGCTTTGGCCTTCGAGGGGGTGCCTCTTTGAGGTCTTGTGAGTCCGAGTTTTCGATGACTCAGATGTATTGACTGTCAATGACAGTCCCCTAGTATTTCGGGTGCTTTGGCCCTTGAGCTGCTTCCCATAGGATTGTAAGTGTAGAGATCATATGATAGTAAATTTCTTTGAGATACAAAGTGTTTTTGATATAACCATAATACTTCTTCAAGTAATTGATACATGCGTACATGTTTTGCCGAAGTATATTGGCCTTGACCTTTGTTTTGAGGGGGTGCCTCTTTAAGGTCTTGTGAGTCTGAGTTTTCGATGACTCAGATGTATTGACCGTCAATGATAGTCCCCGAGTATTTCGGGGTGCTTTGGCCCTTGATCTGCCTCCTGTAGGATTGTAAGTGTAGAGCTCGTATGATAATAAACTTCTTTGAGATACAAAGTGTTTTTGATATAACCAGAATACTTCTTCAAATAATTGATACATGCGTACATGTTTTGCCGTCGAGGCTCGACTATTCTATATGGACACTGTTCATTTGACCGTTTGGCCCATTACAAAGCTCTCCTATCGAGGCCCTTTAAGGCGTGAAGTATTTTCCTCAAAAATATAACCTCCGAGGGTGATGCCCCCTAGTATTCGAGGTTGATTGAAAAGAAGCCTTGGATACTGTTGAGTTCTCCTTAGGTAGCACATAATTGTTGCCTTGTTAAAAACCTTGTTGGTAAAACATATTTGGGACAAAATTTGATTTAAGGGAAAAAGAGTGCAACACATGCTTTAAAACCTAAGGCCTTTGTGTGAAAAGGGGTGTCTTCGAGATCGCGTGCCTTCGACAGCTTCGATCGAAAGATCTGTAATAAGTTAGTTTTAAACTTAAACGAACAAAAGGATAAAATCATACCTTAGCAGTAGTATCACTTAAGTAACGATATGTTCCAATTGTTTGGCAGTTGTTCACCTTCCATCGTGATAAGTTTGTAAGATCCTTTACTGACAACT